CATTCTAACAAAATACCTAAATATTATATTTATAAAAAATTATATTATTAAACCAAAAATAAGTTACTTTTTAATCAAACCTAAATTAAGTTATAATAAAAGACATTAAACTAAAAGAATTACACAAAAAATATAACTTTTAAATAGTTAATTTGATACGATATTTTTTTTCAAAGTTTTATGATATTATTAAATTTATATTTTATTAGAACATATAAAACCGTATTATAAAATCGATGGAGACAAAAAATGAAATGAAACATTAAAATCAAGATACATATCGCTGCATCACGCAAGTACCTTTCTAATATTATAGAATATTTTACAAAAACTCTTAAAAATCATTTTTATGTATAAAATATTGTTTATTGATGTATATTTCTTAAAATTCAAAATTACAAGTAGATCGTGCATAGTACAACTTATTAAAGTTTCATAATTGAATTTGTGTAACTATTTGTAGATAAACATAATTAAATACAATATAAACATCTAATTTTAAATATAAAAAATCTAAAATAATTAGGATACTAATTGACTTCTAATATAATACTTAATTATTATTTTTGTAAAAAAATTATATTAGTAAACCAAAAATAAATTACTTTATTATTAAACTTAAATTAAATTATAAAAAAAAATGAATTAAAGAAATTACATAAAAAATATAGCTTTTAAATAGTTAACTTAATATTAATATCAACATTTTTTTTTTCAAATTTATGTTTTATTCCAAAATAAAAATATTATCTTTTTTGCAAAACCATATAAAATGATAGAGACAAATATTAAATAAAACATTAAAATCGAGATGTATCTCACTGCATATATTGTGTGAGTATCATTTTAGTTTTATTTAACGATGAAACTTTATGTGTGTTTAAAATTGTTATGTAGAGTAAACTATGTTTTTCGTTTATACATGGTTAAGACTTTGTAAAGAAGGTTAAGCTCGAAGTCCGGTGTAGGTCCGACCTAATGGGCTGTTCAGTTGTAGTTTAATGAGTTGTATAACCTATATATTATATTAGCTCAGTTATAGGTTGTTGTTCGGTTACGGCTTAATCTGGAAATTAATAGTTTATTAGGTCAGCAAGAGGAAGACTCTTGTTCATGTTCAGCTGGCCCTTTTCCCTCACTGCCCTTGGGAAAAAAACGCATCTTCCTCCTCCTCTATAGATCTATCACTGTTCCTCTTCTTGCCCTCACAAATCGACCCTCTCAAATCAGTAAGATTATTATACAAATCAGCCCTCTCAAATATGTTCTGTATCTGCATTGTGTCTCCATCGTTGCAAAAATGAAGAAACATGGAGATTGCTCTCATCAACATCGTATTCGTGACCCCTCCCTCATTCATCTTTCTTGCTTGATTACGGTGGCAATTGGACCAACAATTTTTGTTCCTTTTGGTTCAAGCCTTGGGCCCATTGGTTTTTGCTGGTGATTTTGGGTTTGATATAAGTTTCTAATTTATGATTTGAATTCAGTTTTTGATTTAAGTTTTTTATCGTTGCTCCTTTGCCTTTCTTGTGGTGATGAAACAACCCTCTCAATTTGATGAAATTACCCTCTCAAATCAGAGGAGAAATCGGTTGGTTTGGTTAAAGGGGAGAAATAGATAGGTTTGGTGGTTGAATTGAAACTGAATATTCAATGAAAAAACAAAGGGTAAAATAGTAATTTTCATAATTCATACGGTTTATTTAGTATAACAATCGAACGACTTATCAAATATCATAAAGATAGTTTTATCACTATAGACAATTTAAGCCATATAAGACTTAATAAAAAAATGAACCGAACAACCCCTAAGTTCGGCCCAAAAAAAGCCAAGCCCCAGTAAGCTTCAAACGCGGTACACGCCAGGCCTCAAAGCCTGATCAGACTGCTCAATTTGTAAAAGTTTTGGCATGAAAAATCCCTATGAGGCCATTGTTCAACCCCAAAACCAACACGTGTCTGGAAAAAGCTACCGCCTATTTTGCCCACTGAAAACGGGCTTGAAAGGCCCGAACCCATGTTTGAATAAACTCGAGCCTTGTGTATCTCTAGACTTTGTGGTTTATAATTCATACTTTTTTCGTCCATATGGTTTAAAGTTGACTGTTTTTTCGTCGTTCTGGTTTACAAATCATTGTTTTTTTATCGTCCCTATGATATACAATTTATGGTTGTTATTCGTCTCTAATATTTAATCGTAAACTACTAACAAAGTTTAATTTTAGAGAGGAAAACAATAATAAATTGCAAACTGCATGGATAAAACCGTATTTTCAAAAACATAAAAACAAACATCACAAATTTTAACATATCACACAGACAAAAACCGTCGTTTATTTGATTATATAATATCATAACGTTAAAATTAGCCGATTAACTGTAACCAATTATAAGATAAAACATATGGATATACTCATACCGTATTATACTATCTCAAATTGTAAAAATATATAAGATAAAACATTAGATAAAATAAAAGTTTCCTTTTTTGAAGTATATAAGATTTATATACGGTAAATGCAACAAATAAACCTACACATCTTCTTATATTTGGTGAGGTTTGAACTCCTGACCTCCTAGAAGGCCAAAGACTATGATACCGCTAAGTCAAAAGCCCTTTGGTATAAAATAAAAGTTTGCTAAAGGTAAAAATGGCAACATAGAAAAAAAAATCCATCGTTTGATAAAAGTTTTATTGAATTTAGTATCAAGGTGATTATTCAAAAAATCATTGGTTAAACTTTAAATAATTGGATAATTACAAAGTAAAAGTAATTATTATATATTTTTTAAGTAAGAGTAATTTTCTTAAAAACTTATTATTAAATTGAAAATAATAATAAATCATATAATTATTTTGAAAACACATGTCATCCCTGTATACATGTCTACTTAGAGGTCGTTTACCAAATGTTTACTTGGGTAAACCCTTATCAACTCACATCACCTTACCAGATGAATATGACAAAGACTAAGAATCTTACCCGGTAAGAGCGAAACAAGGACCAAGAATCTTACCCGGTTAGAGTCTTACACTAAGTCTTAAGAGCCATCTCTGGGGGATTAGAGTCTCTAGTTCTAAAGACCATAGTTTCTGGACACTAGGATGGAAGATTCACTAAAAGAGCAACCAAAGCCTCTGCTTCTAAAGACCAAAACATCTGGTTCACAAGCATCCAGGACCAGAGTTCCTCTGGATGACCAGAGCACCTCTGGTTGAACTATACTTTGAAAAACAATTTATCATATTTATGGAAAAGAAGACCTTAAAGCTTTACAAGTCTGAAAATACATTCTCCAGGTCTCTTGAAAAGAAGACTTCAGAGTTTTACAAGTCTGAATAGTCATTCTTCAGATCTCTTGAAAAAAAAAAAAGACTTCAGAGCTTTATAAGTCTGGAGACCTAGTGAGTGCTTAATATCAAATATGAAGACGAAGTCTAAAGACCTTGAGTTCAGAGTTATTCGAACTCTGAACGAGAGGATACAGCTGCTAACTCTATAACAACCTATGGAACCCTTAAATTTCTTAAAGATTTTGCTTAAAATCCTCTATAGAGCATAATAAAAATACAAATTTACCTTATTAAACACATAAAACACATTTAGAGGCAATTGACAAGCATATTTAAAAAAAAGGTATGTTATATTGGATCCTTCAACACCTCAATTTTTTAGATAGATTTTCACCTTTTCACCTTGTTTATGTATTCATGTAATTACATATTTCTCTCTCTCTCTCTCTCTCTCTCTCTCTCTCTCTCTATATATATATATATATATATATATATCACATCACATCAAGATCACCCTCAATTCCCACTTCAATCAGGTATGATCGAGAAACGACATTCAATGAAGCTAATAGAAAGGTGAACTATTGTGCAATTCGTTCGATTGTACTGCATTTGTGTATTCTCCCTCCATCACTGGAGAATGTCCTTGACTGAACACACTTTTAGCAAACAAATAAAAAATGGGAACTTCATATCTTCAAACACTTGAAGATGATTCTAGTCATGTTCTTTAATTGCATGCACGACTACTGGGACATTACTGATTGTCCTATTTCAATTGTTTCATTTATCGAATATATAGTTGATCAATCAATTGTCAAAAGAATTACCGCAAGACTTTCTATTGGTTGCCACGTGTGGGCTTCCATTGAACCCCTTTGTGAAACAATCTTATTGGTAATACTTACTAAGCCACAATGTGTTACCTTTATACTGTCGATGGAAAAAACCCGAGTCGGCAAGACAACAACTTGTTTATGCACTTGGGTTTTCACCTCACGATCATCGCATATGATCAACAACATCGTTAAATTGGCAACAATAAAAAAAAGAATATTATGTAGAATAATCAAGTTTAAAGGTTTAGGGGTTGTTTGTTTACTTTTTAATAGTTCAATTAAAAGACAGCTTCTGGATAGTTAAGAGGTGAATCTTGTTTAGCAAAAAAAAAAAATCTTTTAGTGGTTTCCAAGTATTTTGAGCGGACTTCTAATCCGCTTAATTCATATTATCCAGATTTTAAATTATTCTCTGTTTCTTGATTCATATTGATAAATCGCTCAATATATTGACTGGTTAAACTTACCTTGTTTGAGAAGAGTTATCCGCACACTGATTAAGACTGGTTTGATTGAATTAGATTTGATGGTTAGGAAATTAAGCACAGGTTCAAGTTAGTCGGAGTTCAAGTTCATATATCACTCGTGTGGCTCGATATCTGTTGGTATAAATTGCTTAGATTGTTCGATTGCTTTATCATCGAATTTACATAAATCGATTGGAGCTAGGCTTAATCTGTTTATAACTTGTCTGAATTCTACACAGATATATTACATTGATTTTGAGCTTCTTACTGTTGATGTGTATATTTTGGTTGTGCCAATGTTGTTGAAGCAACTACATGAGGGGCTCAAGGGTGGACATTTAGTTGATGATTTGTTGACTGGTGCTTTAAGAAATCCTTGCAGCAGCACCAATTCAAGATGCAAATGGCATAAATGAGTTTCTTTTAACAGTTCTAAGGGATTTATAATTGTTTTGAGTTTGTATTAAGACTTGATCAGTTGCTGGTTGGTAATTGCACAGGTTAAGCAGGTTTAAGCATACAGAGTGGAAAGCGGTTTCATGTTTTCAAGCTGCTGGTAGTAAGGATCTGTTTAACAGATGCAAGCTGCATGATGAACTACCCATCTTGACAGCATATTGAATTTGACAGAAGCTACACAGTGACAACAACAGCATACACAAAGCAGCAACATGTTTAATTTTTGTGCAGTAACAGGTTTAAACATTGTGACAATGGTTTGCTGTTTCTGTTGTGTTTGTGGTGTTTGAAGCAGAGATGTGTAAGTGATTTTTAACAGGTTTAAACTGTTTTTACATGTTTTTGTTTTAAGCAGCTGTGTGAAGTGTTTAAGCAGGTCTTGATTGTGGTCTTGCTTTGTCAATAAGAACAGCAACTGTTTCATTTTCTGCAAGCAGCAAGCAGCTCCACAGTCTTGTAACAGTAGCAACAAACAGCAGTAGTTTTTAAACAACAGCTACAAATAGTTGTGTACAGGTTCTGTGTGCATACACAGGATCTGTTTTTTGTTCTGTATTGGTAAAACAGACCGCAGTAGTTCGGCAGATTGGACAGTAGGTGAGGTAAAACAGGTTTGAAACTGTTACATAGCTAAACAACAAGCAGGTCTTAACAGTTTTGACAGCATATAGATTTAAAACAGTGCTGAAGCTAAAACAGAAACAGCAGTTGTGTTGTGTTGGTGTTTAAAACAGCAGTTGGTAAGCTCCACAGGTTCTTAACAGCATTGCAGAGGTCCTGTGCACACACAACAAGTCTAAAACAAAGGTTTGTGAGTAAGTAGCATTTGTGTTTGTGTTTGAGATTTCACAGCAACAACATTGGACAGATTTTTGTAACAGCAACAAGACTGATACAGCTGCAGATTTAGTAAATTGTTTTGAAAATATAGTTGTGTGCAGTATTACGTTTCTCCAAGTGAAGCAACTGATTCGCGAAGCATTCAAGTGACTTTTGGATAGATTTTCTAGAGCAGATAGATATTTTTTTTAAAATTGTAACTTCTGTATTGTATTTGGGCTTGGATCTGTTTGATTTGGACTTAGTCTCAGGTTTTTGGACTTGGATTATTGTTTTTTGAACTGTTTTTGGTTTCTTAGGTTGTTTGTGTTTAGATTTTCTTTTGGATCATTGTATATTTGTTTTTTGCGTGAGTTTTTCAGTGTTTGTGTTTTTCTGTTCCTTTTGAGATTAACTGTTCATATTTCTTTTATCTGATTTCACTGCATAGATCCTTAACTAATCAATTTTTTAAAATGACAGATATTCTTATGAAGGAGAATCAAGAATTGAGAGCAAAGTATGTTGAACTGGAAAAGAACTTTAAAGTTCAGAATTATGTTAATGTGATGTAATTAAACTTTGCATCGAGAATATAAAGAAAAGATAGAAAAAGTTAAGGATGAATCCAAATATGAGTTAGATAAACTTAACAAATCCTTGGATAATATCACAGTAAAATTTGACGAAGAAAGAAAAACAAGGAATCAATCTTATAAAGATTTGCACAACAAACTCCAAAAAGTTCAAATTGAACTAATTGCTGAGAGGAACTCTCCAAGGAGCAATTCAGATATCAAGGATTTAACTGAGAAGTTCCACAAGACTGAGCATGAGCTGACTGAGTTTCAGAGATTATTGGGATTAGAAAAGGAAAAGGTTTTAAAGACTGAAAATATTTTAAGTGATGAAAGAAAAGAGATGGAAATAGAAAAGAAGAGAATTATGGAAGTTGAAAGAAAGTTTGGAATTGAACGAGAATCTTACGAGAAGAAGATTAACTCTCTYGAGCTAAACGCCAAGATGCTTCTAAAGCAAATCTTGGATTTTGAGCAGCTTATCATTTTGGAAAGAGAAAAGAATGCTAAAGAAAAGACAGACATCTTCGAAGACTATCAGAGCCAGCTACATAAACTGTCTGAAAGCATTGACTTAAAGCAAAAGGCTTTAGACGAAGAAAAAAAGCAATTTGCTATAGAGAAAAGAAATACTTCAAAGAAGTATACAGTAATTGCAAAAGAGCTTACTGAGAAGAGGAAGTGGCTTGACATAGCTTCGGAGAATGACAAAAGCARCTYAGATGAAGAGAAGAGAGAGTTGCTAAATCAGAAGAAACAATTTGAAATGATTCAGAAGGAGTTATAAGGTAAACTCTTTTAATCATTCTGACAACTTAATCATTTAACAACAAATCATTCAACAACTGCCAAACAACACCTTAAAATATCTTTAAGAAATCGTCCGTAACGAAGATTTTTGAAATGTTTTTGCTCTAAGATATTCCTTAAAGAGAAATCAAAGATGGAGACCGATTTAAACCCGACCCGGTTTGGGACCGGTTTCAGGAAGTCACACAATTAACTATCGGTTTATGGGCGAAACCACATTTTACACGTAAGCATATGCATAAGGTAGGACCCAAAAATACATAACTTTTGACGTCATGATCCAGTTAGGTAGGCAGGAATCTTATGGCTGAGAGAGTACGGAATGGTATCGTGTTCCATCAGGTTTTAGTGGTCCAACGGCTGGACAGCCTTTTGATTCTTCGGACTATGAGATAACGCACAAGAAGAGCCGCATAGGATTTTGGCTGGAAAGTTGATGTGACATTTCCACAGAGCAAAAGGAACAACTTTGGTCCTTTCTACTGCCTCTGATTGGGACTTAACGGAACTGACACCAATTTATTACCTCTTAATTATTTATTATTATTATTATTATTTTTATTATTATAATAATAAATATTATATATATATATATTTACTGTCATTGCTTTTTCTGCATGCATGACCAAATTATAAACAGGAAGTAATGGTGCTCCTATTCTATTATATTACACATATAAACCACCATTTCTTTCCAATCTAAACTTCAAACATATAAATTAAATAATATATTATCTGTGTACAGTTACCTGGTAAGTGTTTACTAGTTTAATTATCTACCCGGATGAACATAACAAGTATTGATAAGTGAGGGTAATGACTCATACTCAGTAATCGTTTCTTGGATTATCCCAATACTGATTTCGTGAAACCGAAGACATAAAAAGGGTCAAAATATAGTATTCAAAGAGTACAATATATATACATTATTCGATTGATTGTAACCACGAAACCCACTTTCTCGTCACTGGCTTGTGATTTGTTTTGATAAAAAACGAATTTAAATCGATACGATGTTAAAAATTCTAGGTTTGTTTAGGGTAAAACGTTATATAGAGCATCGTTAACTATATCAACAATAAAACATAAGATTCTTAACACTCTCACGTACTTTCGGGAGCGGGATGGTTTTCGGTGGGCCACATCTCGTGAGCCCCGACGAACCACCGGTCCGATCAAGGTACAGCCGGCCTCGATAAGCGGCCAAATGAGCATAATAACATGGTGGCACCAATGAAACAGGCTTGGTGCACCTTACAAAAGTGAAGCAAAGATTGTAAACCAGTTTCTCGAGTTCATCGGAAGTGAACCCATTCTCATCCCATAAAACGTGATAATGAGTCGGCCGGCTTGTACCCTTTACACCCCAATGGCTGCATAGATAGAAATCGAATTCTTTCGGGTGGGTGATGACCGAGTCAACCACCGTGCCTGGCGGCACGTTCTCGTCGGAAAACTGGTTTCGGGCAGCACCAGATACCGGGTCCGCAGGGAACAGCCGTGTGTGGTGCCGTTTCTGGACCACGGCAAACGTGATCGGCGGGTTGTAGCCGGTGAAACGCGAAAATGCATCCCGAATCGCTTGCAATTCGTCACGAAGCACCTTATGAAACTGCGTCTCACTCACGCCATCCCGAAAGAAAATCACTCGTTTCGGCAGCTTCGAAAGCTCCCGGACGAAATCATGTAGTATCTCTTCCACCATTATACTCAAGTCTTGAATAATTTCTTGCCGGTGAGTCTGAGATCGCATTTTGGAAACGTACTTGTTAGCTGCCGGCCAGTTCACCGACCCGACCACAGCCGCCACCGACGGGCTGAAATCGTCAAGTGGGTGCGGGTGTGTTACATCCGCACCCATAAACATCACCGGCTCATCGAGGGTCAGAAGCCGCGGGATCTGAGCTGGCAACGACGTGTACAGAGCCACGGTGCACCCACCGATCTTGGCATTGATCTTGATTGCCAAATTCGCGAGAAACTGCGAGCTTAATCTCGCAAGATTTTGATACAAACAACACTGGCTCATAACCCCGATGCTGGTTTCGCTTATCCGCTTCAAATCTGCATAACCTTTGTGTTTCTTTTCCATCACACAAATCAAAAGCTGCAGATTATTAGATGCAGATCTTTGGATCTTTTTGAGCTTTGATTCAAGAAGATTCACATTGTTAAGAACTTGCATTGATTCAAACTGTGGCCTTATGACTGTGTTCTTGTTAAGAAAAATCCCTAATTGCTCACATCTTTGAGTTAATTGATCGATGAATTTCGGGATGATCGATTTCTGCGCGGTGGTTCCTCCAAAACTAACGAGAGCCCATCTCCCGATTCGGCTCCCTTCGAAAACCTGGCTACCGGAAAAGTTCCATTGCCGATCATGGCGTGAAGGTATCAGATCCGTCACTTCACCACCATCTCCGAGCTTAAGCTTTGGTGGCTGAAGAACACGGCCGTTCAACTTTGTCATCTCCGTCAAAACACGGAGATTGAATTCGCGGGCTTGGTGTGCGCTGTTGCAGCAATCCGAAGAAAACATCAGAACACTAGATAAAATCTATAAGGAATCACTACAACAAAGTCGATTTATAGATCATCATATATGTCTAAATGCCCTAGTAAACGGATTTAAAAGACTTAAAGAGGATGGTTGGTTTTTTTCGTCAAGTCCTGTATGGATAAAGATATCTGTATAGAATGGGAAGGTTTTTGTTTGCCGGGTTTTTTTTCATAGATAGAAGGCTCGTGTTTTTTAATTGAGAGTGACAGGTTCGGAAAAAACTTGACTTTTCTCATAAAGCTCCCCCTAGAAACTTACTGAATAAGCCACTTTCTATATAGCTGACCGAATAAGCTGTAATTACTATTAAGGTCATTAAATTGTAAGTACGATTAAGCTCATTAAGCTGCCAACAAACAGATTTTTAGACCAAACAATTGTGCATAATGTGTACAGGTGTTTATTTTGAAATTGTCCTGAAAACTTGTTAGGACGCTCAAAAGCGTCGTATCAACTTACTTCAACATCCTTAAGTAAGGGGCCGTTTACCAAACGCTTATCCGGGTAAGTGCTTACCAAGTCATGTTACCCCACTGGATGAATATGGTAAGGACGAAGAATCTTACCCGGTAAGAATGAGACAAGGACCAAGAGTCTTACCCGGTAAGTAAGGGCGACGACTCTTACCACGGTAAGCGCTTACCGGGTAAATTGTTGCATACGATGTCGTTTTGGTGGACTAAAATCTTACCCGGTAAGTAAATAATAGAGTTTAGTTTTACCAGTAAGCACTTACAGGGTAAGTGTTTGTTAAAAACCGCCGTACAAACTGAAGTCTTATAAAGCAGTATCTTAAAACATCTAAAAATAGTTGGCCTCTTATAAGAATAAGAAAGAGAAGGGTTACCTTGATGGACCGAAGGGTCCAGCCATGACTCCGTCGATGATCGCCTTCCTTTCTCGCGGTTTTTGGCAACCCAATTTGAGTATTTTCGCGGTTTGATCATCGGAAAGTTTCCCGAGAAACTTCTGGCCTTCGCAAACCACACAAAGCTCCATCGGAAGATAACATGGCCGTCTTCGACTAGTCTGCAAACACGGCAAGTTCCTGTACTGAATCTTGTAGTTATACTGTTCTTTGAAGTAATTCAAAACCCACAAATTATTCCCGTTTCGATCTCGAAACCAAAGATTCTCCGTAGATTCATCCGTCAAGCTGTGAACTTTATATCGTTGCACGGTCTCCCGGTGACAAACAAACACTTTTACGTTCTTCAACGCCTTTTCGACCTCTTTCTTCTCTTCACCTGTCAACCCTCGTGTTTTCCTCTCGGAAAGATCGTTCAGAAACGAAAGACGTTTCTGTAAATACGGGATTACGCCAATGCTCTCGTGAAACGCGGTGACCGTTAAGTCGACATTGAGGGCAAGTCCTTGTTTTGTAGGTCTAAGACTTTGGAAAAACCCTCTAAGTCCAATTGCTCCTCCTCCTATATCTTTAGCTCCTCCCATGGAGGTCGAGTAAAGCGACCGCCCTAACGGAGTGCATTCCGATAACGGGTTTTCGCGAAGAACGACATCTAATGCTTGAAGATAGTCTTGCGGAAGCGGGATCGATTCATCGGTGTCGTTTCTCAAGTATTTACTCAGTTCTCCGCCATCGAGTTTCGATACAATCTTGATGCTTACCCTAAAAAGCTTCAGTTTTTCGGTATTATCTTCTAAATTTGGAGTAATCAGAGAGTTGGGAATTGGAAGTGGGAGGTTAATGTAGAGTTCAAGTCTATCTTTCTGAAACTTAATTGGGCTAAAAAGATTTCTCCGGCCATCAAAGCTTGGATTTCCGCCGGAAAAAATGGCGGAATTTTCTTCTACAAGTTTATTCTTGATCAATCTAGCGACGTCTTTCGAAGGTTTTGGAGAGATTTCAACATCGTAGTGGTAAATTTGCTGTAAAGGGTTGAATTTAACGAGGAAATGATTGGCTAAAAGTGAGATAACTGTTCCATCTGAGCCACCGGAATCCGGCCGTCTTGCCACCTTCAACGGTGGCGCTGGTGGTGGTAAATCCCTAACCGGCTGAAATTCATCTCTTTTTGCTCCCATTGATGAGTTAATTGCTCTTGGAATCATCTCTAAAGCTGTTTTAATTGCAGAAATTAAGAACATTATGGGTCCCATTTGAGATTATTTCACATTTTCATACCAAATTCTTCACAAACAACAAAAAAAAATTGAACAAAAACAGCGGATTCCATCTATTTTTTTACCATTTTTTCAATTGAATTTCTGAAACAGAAAATCCACACAAATATTCAAACTTTTAGGGTTCAACTTTTTGCGTAAATTTTGACTAAAAACGCTTTTGAAAAGCGGTTAAAAAGTGAATTTGGTTGATAAAATTCGTTATTTTAATAAAAAAATCAAGATTAACAGAAGATTACTGTAATTAAAAGAAATCGAAATTAATTAAATATTTATTTTTTTACCAAAAGATTCTCAGCTTGAAAAAATCAAGATTTTATGTTCTTGAAAACAAGAAGAAGCAAAAATTTGGAATCAATCGAAACCTTTGTCGGAGTTTGAAATAACAAAAAAACAAATGGAACCCATTTGGGGACATCGATTAAAAACCCAAAAACATATGAAGACAAGTGCTTAAAAGTTAGCAAAACCATCAAATAATATATATATATATATAAGTAAAATAACACAGAACGAAAGAGAGGGTATTTTGTGAAGAAAATGAACAGACCTGTTTCATCAGATAAGTTGGGATCAGAAGCAGCAACAAGAGGTGGAGGATGATGATGGTGATGATTTTGCTTCCATGGAGGTTTGTGCAAATGGGGTTTTGGTCTGAATCCAAGCAGAGGAAGAGGAGATATGGCTGAATGAGGTGGAGGCAGAGGAAGAAGAGGAGGGGAAGAAGATGGGTGGTAGAGATTTTGATTGAAAAACCCAAAATTTGTGTTGGAATGATGCTGGAAGAGATAGTGTGGATGGAAATGAAGGTGATGATAGTGGTGTTGGTGTTGGTGTTGAGGGTTATGTGTTGTTGTTGTTGCTGTTAAACTCTTTGTTTTTGGTGTGCATTTGTTGTTGTTATCTGTTTCTTCTTCCATGGTAGAGAGAGAGAGAGATGGGGGCAAAAAGTGCAGTTTTTGCATGAGAGAGATGTATTTATATGTAGAGAGAGAAAGAAAGCAAATGGGGTTTTGTCTCTGATAGCAGTAGGCAACTAGGAATAGTAGTAGAAACTGCAGTTATTGCAGAGAGAGAGAGAGAGAGAGAGAGAGAGATGGAGGAGAGAGAGGGAGAGAGAGGGGGGGAGGTATTTGGTGTAATCTTCTTAATGGAAAAAGATGTGATCTTTTTTTATATTTGGATTATTTTTCTATGTAATTTACTTTTTGGACTATTTTATTTGGTTTTCTTTTTGTTAAAGAGAATGTAGTATTTTTTTTATTGGGAAATTTCAGTTTTCTTTATTTAACATGGATATATAATCCGTTAAGTGAACCGACTAATCTTATGAGTGCAGTATAACAGAGAGTTGTATGTTGCGTTTGAAAATAATGAATCGCTCCCAAAAAGGAATCTATTGATTTTCTCCTTATTGGTTGGACCGTAGGTGCGATGATCTCTGGTTCAAGTCCAGGATGGTCCATCTGCGTCAAGAAAAAAAATAGAATGACCATCTGCTTTACGGGTAGTCCGGAGTCACCGTATTTGAACGTTCCTGGCCAAGGGAGGGGGGGTTCTTATTTCTTCTTGGATTTGAACCTGGGATCTCCCGACACTTTTGACTTTGGAAACCAAGTTCAAACCAATCTAGGCATGGCAACGAGGTGGGGATGGGGCGGGTTTTGTAATCCCCAGTCCTGGTTTGTAATACCGTCCCCCAGCCCCCGACGGGTACGGGGATTATCATCCCGTCCCCAGTCAAATTCTAGCAATCCCCGGTCAAAACCCGATAAACCCGGTCAAAACCCGGTAAAAAGTATGTTTTAATTTGATTCTACCGGGGATCCCCGGCCCTGGCCCCGGTTTGAGTAACATCCTCTGTCCCCCGTTTGAGTCTACCAGGGATCCCCGTCCCCGGGACCCGTTTTAGCGGGGAATCCCCGTCCCCGTTCGGGTCGGGTGAACCGGGTTCCCCACCGGGTCGGGGCAAATCACCATCCGTAAACCAATCAGACACCACTCTTATGGTTGAAAATAGAGTAAATTAGGAGGTTTCGTATGTTAAAAATATAGTAAATTACGATTTTCGTCCCTATGGTTTGTTAATAATTTTAATTTTTTTACTTGTGGTTTAGAAGTTATGATTTTTGTTCCTATAATATGTACGTTATTGTTATTTTCGTCTATAAATTAATTCCTACATTTAACTATTTAAGTACAAAAACCGAAATAGCAAAGAGTTGTATATAACAGGAACCGAAATAACAATAGATTGTAAATCATAAGGACGAAAATAGTAATGAATTGCAAACCATAAGGACGAAAATCGCAAGTTCTAAACCATATAAACGATAATCACAATTTTTAACAAATCACAGGAACGAAAAACGTAATTTAATTCTTAAAAATATGTTTTAACATATAATTCCTGTAAAAATATGCTTAAAGTTTATTTTTTTTTCCAAAATATCATTTTGTTTCTAAAATCGGTCATATAACCTACGTCTTCACGACTTTCCCTCTCTTTTTTCTTTTGGTTTTCGTTCAAAAAGTTTGAGCTTTTAAAACCCGTTCGTCACAACCTTTATATTTTTATTTGCATACTAACAATGTACTCGTTTTATGGTTCTTCTTGTCTTGTCGTCATCTTCCTGTTAGGGTTTCCCGTTGTCGGTTTGCTTTCTCTTTAATTTTTAGATATAAATAAGAAATTGGAATGTTAGATTCTTTTTATGAAAACAGTATTTATTTATCATTGATCTGTTTTTTTTTTTGGGACTATAGATGCATGTATTACATGTTTTCTTCATGATACTTAATAAGGGATAATAGTACTTCAGTGTGTTTCATAAAGTTCAACGTCAAATGAAATTCTATGGCCAGACATCGAAGACCTAAATCGATGCAATGGATATTAGAGAGAACTAGTTGTGTACCCGCGCAATGCGGCGGGAGCCATGAATTTTAACGATTTTGAAGTTCCACTGATTTTATAAGATAAGATTTAACGATGATATAAGTTACAGTTGGTTTTTACATATTATATAATGTTTTAAACATATTTTGAAACATTATTATATATAAATCTTACAAAATCCCGTGAAATTCCAACCATACCAATGAGATTTCAAAATCCTATGTGTGATTTATATAGTAATTGATTAAGACCAATCATATCAAGTACATGTAGTAGAAATATTAGCAACAAATGTAACCTTGAAAAATTCCCTTTTAAACAATAAAATCTAACCTACAAATTCTAAAAATCATCATATTCACAGTATGACTATGAACTCAGAGCTCTTCCCTGTAAATCTTCAGTTTCTACCCACCTTAATTTCTTCACTAACAAGYAACAACCAYCATCATATATTSCTGCAAGATTCTAAAACATTCGCACTAATGAACACTTCTGAATGCCAAATTGCAAGCAACGATCACGTAAAATGTCGCACTTCCAACCATCATCCTCTTCCAAAGCTTTTGCATACCACATCGATCAACTACATTCGCCAACCATTGCTYGTAGTTAATTAACGAACATCTCAATATCATGTTTTAATAATGCAAGCAGATGGACTCTTACAATATGTCAAATATCAGTTTTGGACTTCAATGTAATGCATGCTACCACCTGCACCTACTTTCCAAAAAACCTGAATAGGGTTTTAAAGTTTAGTCATCCATCCATTCATAAATACACAAAATTTTAAGTCATAACTACTTCAATACACAAAGGTGGAAAGTAAGTACAGTATAAAGCTTACCAGGGGAATGAACATGTCAAATGATCTATTCTCAAACTTGTTAGAAGTGTGTCCAAATAAACCATAAGCCATGAGATGTGCTGAATCAATGGACTGATATCTGCGAAGTGTGAAATTACCAATACAAAATTAGTATCACGTAATAAGTAATTGTCCCAGAAGCATCTTCAAATACAGAACAGTGAAAGCAACAATACAKGATCACTTAATACATACATATCCTTAAGTAGCAGTTACTAAAGTTTCTGCTCATTGTGTGMTGATTCATATATATTGCCATTAAACAAGCATGTACAGGGGTGTTATAATACAGCAGGGTATATGGCTAGTGCTAAAACTGCAGTTTGTAATGTGTTGCTCCAGGATTTTAAATGCAAAATAGACATGCATAAATGAAAATGACTTGCTGCTGTATCTAAACAAACAACTGCTATATCTAAACAAACAGCTGCTGTATCTAAACACACACACACATTTCATCTCTGCATAAACCAAACTTTTAACCTTTATACTATATATGGATCAGCTAAGTAGAAACCAATGTACTTGAGTAAACATAAATACACATTTAAGATTATTCAGGATCTGAGAAGAGCTGCAAAACCATATAAACATAATGAGGTCATGACCTTTATAATCAGTGATACTAACCATCTACAGCAGATGTCTCCCTTCGTGGCAAGAAAAAGACATAAAGCAATCATAAATAGAAGATAGATGAATCAKAAGTAGAAATACATGCGCAGACAAATGAAAGAAAATTTTAAAATATCATGGCTCAAAACACACCTCAAAAACCATTCTTTAAACAGGATCCCGATCCACAGACACATCCAAGTATACAAGYGGGTTCTTCTTGCTCATCTTCTTTGTATTAGAGGACCAGTCAATCAAGCATTCCTCAAGAACTTATATGTGGAATACATATTCAGGAAAAGAACATGTTTAATTAACAAATAACTATCATAATTGGAAAAATAATTCAGTTCCATGCTATGCGAATACTATTTACACAATAAACTGTATGACCAAGTACAACACATTAAATATAAATATTTTAACCATTATGTATGAGCAAAATTAAACTGTAGAAATATAAACCTGTTTTAATTGACCACCAGCATGTCTCCCTCAGCCTCAAAATGGATGAATAGCAGTTCCCTCAAATTTT